TTTAAGGTCAAACTAGGTATTTTCTTCATGACCAGTTTCTTCATCCTTGTATGTTAAAAATTGCAAATAAATATGTCTTAACTAAAGGTCAAAGACAAGCAGGTAATGCCAACGCTCTTTGCATCAGTATGTGCATGAACATGACAGATGTTTCTGTCTTTATCTAGAGGTCACAGAGAAATTACGTTCTAGTTTTCATATACAGTTTTCATTATTTGATTAACTGATTTAGTCTTTAGTAAATAACATTGAACTCTGAAAAACATGTTCTGAGGGTGTTAAAAACAGTTTCAGTACTAAAGTGGAAAAATTTGGCATCCTCAAGGAAATACTCTATTATTTGCCAAAGATAATTGGGGTATGTTATAGGACATAGGATTTAAGAATGATCAAAAAGGTAAAGATAATGGTTTTTGGTTACATTGCAGTTATTCAAGTCCTGGCAAATGTCAGGACAAAAAAGTGGGGGAGAGGAGTTACCAACTCATCAATTCCAACCTGCACATCTTTCCTCACATTTCAATTTATCCAAAATCAGGTGGCATCTAATGATCCATGCCACCTCATAACTTAATTTATAGTATTATTTCTTTCTTAGGGATAAATAATGGTGTATTTTATCATTTATATCTTTAACTTAATGAAATATGGTGAATTTGGAATTTCTTGTCTTTCCTTTTCTCTATCTTAATTTTCTCCTACTTTCCTATTTCTTTAGTTTTGCTCTTTTTATCACTTAAAAATAATATATGCAAATATATAAAATAGATATATATATATTATACACATACACCAATTGACTTGGACCCAGCCAGCATCCTGGGCATCTTTATCTCCACCTGTCCATCTCCAAACAGTTGAATTAGGGTTCTTTTCCTCACCCTAATCCAAGGAGGGGCTCTGCCAAAGATGAATTTCCTGTCTAAAAAAAAAAAAAAAAGAAAAAGAGAGGGGAGTTGAACTCAAAGTCCCCTTGCTCTGTGGAAAATAGTTCAGTGGAAGGCCTGTTGTGGGGTGAGGTGTAAACTACTTACTGAAACTTAGATGTGGATCTGATTTCTCTATCCTCTCCCTGCTCCTCAGTAACACAGATGATCAAGGGTTGACTTAAATGCTTTGTTCTGAACTCTGGGAACCAGAGAGAAGAAACATCCTGTAGTTATTCTCTCCCTTCATGGGATTAGGTTTGGGGCCAACCCTGCACTCTAATGAGTCTCTTTAATAAAGGTGCCAGCTTCCCCAGGGGCCCACATCCCCTGCCTGGCAAATCAGTCCTATTGCAGTCACACTTTGGATTGTATTTTATGTTCCAAAGTTTTTCTTCATGCTGCCAACATAGAGGAATTATTAATTAATACAAAGCAGTGCACATTCAAATAGCATGGGGAAAGGATACAGGGTAACTACAGTTTGCTTAAAATAAAGTCGCTCTTCAGTTTTTAAAGTCTCCAAGCTTGATGAAGATTTTACTTTGCTCACAGTAAAATTTGGTGGGAAAAAAATCAGAGTATTGCATCCTGTATTGCACTTTGTCCTCATATTAAATTGTATATAAATTAATGAAACTTTAAATCATGGTGACATTTAAGAAGGGATGAAGTGGAAAAAAGGCTTGGCAAATTATACATCCACATACAAAAGAGCTGGCTGAAAAGTCATTTGCTGGCACCTACTACTACTTTCCTCCAACTTCTTTCAAAACCTCCTGTTTTTCTATTTCCAAGTCCCTTAGAACAGATATTGCAAAAGGCCTCCCGCCCTACCCTGACAGAGCTTTCTCTAAACACTAAGTTGGGCCACTCAAAGGGTAGCTGAATAACGCCTATTGGTCTTTGATTCAGATCTCTCCACTCTTGAGACTTGGTAGCAAAGTTGGTGCTAAAGGCTCCTTTGCAAGCCTGTGGAATTCAGTTTTCCAAGAGAATTAAGTTTTAAGAGATCCCAAGAGCAAGTAGATGTACTTTTCATCTCTCTTGGAAAATCTCCATGGGGGTTGGAGGGGTGGTGAGGTGGAAAGAAAAATGAAAAGAAAGTCATAGTTTCCCGTACATTATAGGAAAACCAAGTGTCAATATTTCTTATTCATTTTCTTGGAAGGCGCTTCATAATTAATGCAAGGTATAAAAGCATTTCAGAAAAAGAAGTGGCTGTCTATTTACAGATATTGTCATTCTTCTAATTAACAGGTGCTGGCTTAACCTAGTTAGATAAATATAAAATCAACTCAGGAAAAAATGATGTTGATTGTTTAGTAAAATTTCCCTGCTTTTAGCCTAAAACATCTCTTACCACAGCAACACATCTCGAGAGAGACAGTATGTTTTAGTGGTCACAATCTTGGGCTGTGAAGTTGAACTTGGGTTTGAATATTTAACCAATTAAAAATTTTCTGATTTACCTATATTCTTTTCAAATTTTTTGCATCACATTTATTCTTTGGGGTTCAATCTCCTTCTTACTGAAATATATGCTTTAGGAGGTGCTTTCAGTCAGTAGGTGTTTACAGGAAACTGAGTGTGGTGAATGATGTCTTTAGTTGACATGCACCAATGGAACTGAAGATTAGCTGGGAATTCAAATCTAGATTATGTTATTTTCTCTCAGTATGTTGATGATACTACTCCATATCTTCTGATTTCTATTGTTGCCTTGGAGAAGTCTTTCAATAGGATAGTTGCAATTTCTTTAAAAGCAATTTTCTTTCTCCCCCGTTGCTTTTTATGATCTATTTTTTTCTTTCTCCCCATTTGCTTTTATGATCTATTTTTTGATGTTGGTGTTTTGTTTCTCAGTTTGTGTTAGGTGTGATTTCACTGTGCTTCCTGAATCTGAATATTCATGTCTTTCATCGACTCTGAATATGATTAGGCATTAAATTATCAAAAATGGCCTCTCTGACATTCTTGGCTGATGGAATTCCCATGGAACATATTTGGGGTCTTTCCATTCCACCTTTAATGACACTTAGCCTCTCTTATATCCCACTCTACTTTCTGGGTAATTTTTTCAGATCTATCTTCTGATTCAAAATTCATATTTTAGAGCCATAGTACATTTCATTCTGTTTATCATACCATTTTAATTAGTTTTATTATCCACCTAATTCCTATCTTTTCCAGTGGAAAACATTCTATTATTTCACTTCTACAAGCTCTAATTATTTTTATTTTTCATGTTGTCTTATCTTTTCTTTAAAATCCTTTCATGAAGACAGTAGGAACTGAATTACTGGCACACTCAACAATATGGATGAAAAACAAATGAATTATGTTAAGATTTGCAGATTGACCAAGGTTACATGGTATTTGGTTACCTTATATGACATTCTGGACAGGTCAGAATCTGCAAGGTCAGAAAAAAATCAGAGGTTTCAAGGGCCTAAGAGTTGGGGAAAAGATGAGCTGTAGAAGGGCTCAAAGGCAAGTCTGTGGTAAGGAACTGTTTTTTATCTTGATTGTGGTGACTTATGTGACCCTGTGCATTTCTCAAAACTCACAGAACTGTAAACTAAAAGAGAGGAATTTTACTGCATATATTTGCACCTCAATAAACCTCATTTTAATTTTCTAAAGATTTTTTTAAAAGCTGCTCAACTGAATGAAATTTTACAAGAAGGAAGCATAGTTACTTAATTTAGGATGAATGGAAACTAAAAGAGAGAAAAGGTTTTAAAGAGAAAATGAAACCCATAAATTAGGGTTAAGATAGCTGCAAAGTCGGCTTCTCCTGGCTTGAGAGGTCATTAGGAAAATACAGAGTATGTTAGGAAATGAGAAATGATTTGCCAGCTGCTCTCGAGCTGATGGGACTGACACAGAATGAGTGGCAGGCAGAATTCTGAGATGTTCCCCTTACCTGTCCCCTGCATTTGTATACACCCTGTTTAACGAATGAGGGTGAAACTTGTAAATATTGTGGGAAACTCCCATGATTATGTGACCAGTCAACTGACTCTGAGTTCATCAAAAAGGAGCTTATTTTGTGTGAATGTGACTGAGTCGGGTGAGCCCTTAAAAGAGGGCCTGGGCCCATCCCAAATGGAGAGTTTCTCCTGCCATGGAAGATTCCATGAGGCAAAGATCTGGGGGCAGCTTCCAGGAGCTGGAAGGGGTCTCCAGTGTAGAGTCAGCAGAGAAACTCAATTCTACCAAAAACCAATGATCTTGGAAAAGTACTCCAAATCTCAGATGAGATCAAAGCACCAGCAAACACCTTGATTTCAGCCTGGGAGATCCGAGCAGTGAATCAGATCTAGATTTCTGACCAAGAGAAACTGTAAGATAATAAATGCATGTAGGTTGGTTTATGTAACTAAGTTTGTGGTGATTTTGTCATGCAGCAATAGAAAATCAATGCAAAGAGAGAATTAAAAGGTGTCAAGCTAGTAGGATTAATTCAAATACTTTCATGGTTTTGACTCCAACAGTCCCTCCACCCAGTAAGAAGAGTACTCAGTGAATTAAAACAAGGTAGTATCATAGAGAAAAGAGTAGAATCCGAAGGGGACCACGTATTGGAGAATTATTGCCCTCAATTATGGAACAAGAAAGCCCAGCACAGACTGATGGGGGGACTTTCTATTGTAGGTTCCTGGTTGTCTTATTCCACCTAATGACTCACTGTCCCTTTCTCCAGGCATAACTTCTCTGGGCTGGACACTTCCATAGTCTCCAGAGTCAATAGTGACACCCATGGCAGAATACATTAGTGTCACCAGACTTAGCACTCATTCTTGACACACCTACTTATGAGGCTAGGCACCAGGAAATAACCACTCAGCTTTACAACTACACAAGAAAGCATGAGTCATCTCTGAAACAACTTTCCATATATATACAAACAGAGAGGGTTCTTTTTCTCCCCAAAGAATATTTTTGAGTTCCAGATTGCACTATCTTGCAAATTAAAAAAAAATTCTTCATTTTCATCTCATTATTAGCTCTTTCATTCTGTACCATTGTTCATTCTAAACATCAAATAAGGAAAATTGAACAAGATCTTAACTTTGCAGTCTGATGAAATCCACCTTCATAGAGATAAATTTATTTGAGCATAGATTGATGTTCTTGAAGTGTTACACAAGATCCACATAGAACTTGTAACCTCCTTTCAATACTCACAGGACTATAATGTCACAATTGCCTATGTCTTTCAAAATGACCTCAGGCACCCGCTTGATTCGGAAAGAAGTTCGGGAGTAAAAGAAATTTTAAAACATGGCCATCTGGGCATTTTTGTGTCTTTCAGAAAAATGCTTAATGTATTCATGAAATGTATCAGAGGATGCAGGGCATTGGATAGGAGTCTTGAGAAACAGTAGCCCACAGAGGAAAAGGCTTTGTTAAGGTTGGACAAAGGAAAATGTGCAAACATATTTCAGGTCACCACACCATGAGCAGGACTTTTTTTCCCCTGTGTCACAAAAATTATTCAGGTATAAAATATGACATCAGTGTTCAAGAATGTTATTATTTTATCACACTAGAGCCTGGTTGTAATCTTAATATGATGAGGGTATTTGGTGATACTGCGTTCGCTTTATCATACAGAAAAAGGAAATGGAGAATGACTCACCCACTTTATAACACTATAGACTAGAGGAAAAGTCAAGCCTATACTCACTATCAGAGTAACACTTGTCTTACTTACATTTAACAAAAATAGTACATTCTCGGGCCTCCCTGGTAGCACAGGGGTTAAGTCTCAGCACTATGAAGCAATCCACAGCCACTACAGCATGAGTTCAATCCCGGGCCAGGGAGCTGACCCACATGGCACAGCAGATCTCTCCTATCTCACCCACTGCTCCCCTCAGCAGTGTATTTCAGTGGATCTGCCTGTTCTGCTCCCCACTCTGTCTCTGGTGAACCCTCTCACCCCCCTGCACCTCTGGTCTACACTCCAGCTCTTGTCTGTATAAATAAATAAATAAATAAATAAATCTATAAAAGAAAAATAGTACATTCTCCATGGGAAGATTCCCCAGAGTACAATTTCAGGAGGCACCATTTCCATAGAACACACTGGAAAGTGTTTCCTGAAGCTGTGCTGTGATGCAGCCAGGGGCTGGCCCCCATACCTAAGTGGTCATTAAGTTTTTTTCTAATTGTTTCATGTCCATATGTCCAATACCCATATACCCATACATCACTAAAACCTTGAATGCAAGCAACATCTATGATGCATACTTTTTCCCTTTAATTTTCACTGACACTTCAAATAGAACTAGATATAGAATAGATGAATGGAATAATCTGAATACATACATAGAGAACATTACATAGATGTTCTCTATAAATGTAATATATATATATTCATTGCATGTTACGTTTTGTATTTGTGTGTGAAATTACACATGCAATCACATGAAAACACACATACCTATGAAATGGTAACCATGGTTTCAGGAAGTGTCCTAAAATAAGGCCATCAAGAAATCTACGTTAGAATATCTGGCATGCTCTTAAAAAGGGACATTTTTTTTTACAATGATGGAGGGAGGAGAGATCAACACACCCTATCTCCTCAAAAAACAACAACAACAGAAAAAACTATAAAGCAACTACACAAAACTGTCAAAAAGGTAACAGCAATGCACTCTATTTAGCACTCTGGAACCAACCAAAGGCATCAGAATTATTTACTCATGAAACCACTGGGTAGAAATAGCATCTGGGGCATCTTGCCTGGGAATACTCCCATGCCACTGTCCTCCCACCAGCTCTGTTGTTCAACCTGGATGGGGCACTGCCACGGGGACCACACCTAACTGGGAGCTCTACCAGCTAGAATGGCATATGAGTGGCATGTCCAGCATGTCAGCTAGACAGCAGGCTGCAAAGAGGGAGGGTCAGTGGCTCTATTATCCTTCTGCAGTCCTATTTGCTCAACAAACTGGCAGGATAGTTGAAGATTTGCCAGCAAGTTTCAGGAGGTCAGATATGGGAGAAGTGTGCACAGTTCACTCTGCACATGTCCCAGTTGACCAGAGGCTATGCAAATGCACACCTAGGGTGAGAGTTGGCCCAAGTCACCCAGAACTTCCTGCATATTCCTATTCGTAAAACATTACCACTGGCTGGAAAATATAGTTGCACAGATTGAACTGTGATCTACTACTCGATCTGTGGTAAATGTAAGTTGCAGGAAAAGCTGGACTTTGGGGATGTGTCCTATGAGAATAAAGGTCACCTTTTAATCTCTCCCATCTTAAATTGTGAGGCTAAGGTCCTGCTGCATGGCAATGTTTTCCCAACCCCCATTTTCATCAGTTCCTATTTCAAGGTTATTACTGATAAACCTATTATTTGTGTATCCTTCTTAACCTTTGCTCCTAAACCTACGTCCAGGTAAACAGTTCAATTAAAGCACAAGTTCATTTTATTTCAAATGTTCAGTCCTGTATTATTTCTTTGGACCACTATGTAAAAGAGATTTAGGAAGTATCCAAAAGTGTATTGCCTTATTCAAAAGGAGGCCCAGCCCAGCACAGGACCAAGACTGACACAGCAGGTAACACTCACCTGTCCACAACAATGCTGTGAGGTATGAGGACGTATTCCAAATCTTCATAATAGTGCTCTGGAAATGTGAATAAATTCAACTCATATCCTGGCCATTTGTAATCTATAAATCAAATTATTCTGGCTATGGTATTTTTCATTATTTATTTTTAAAACATAACAACAAAAAGAGTATCATTTGAAAAAAAAAACAATACTGAGAATGGAAAAAAGGTCTCATGATCAATAAATTAAATTATATTATACCAACCATGAAAAACTCAGTGGACAAGTTACTTTGTTTCATGCAGCCTGATAAAATGCCTAGTACTAAAGTAAACAGCGAATTTACTCCACTGGTAAAACTTGGTATCATACAATAAAAATATAAAATCAATTTCTTATAGCTAACTAGGTATCATTATTCATAAAAGCATGTATACATATAATTTTTGTCTAAATTGTAAATATCATGAATTTAAGTAATTTGTAATTATATTAATATAGAAGTATCATCATAAATTACTATATACACAGTAGACCCTTGAGCAACATGAGTTTCAGCTGCAAAGGTCCACTTATACATAGATTTATTTCCCTTTGGGATCCCCACCCAAGGATTCAACCAACCTTGGATATCTGCAAATACAAACCTGAGGATATGGATGGCTGACTACAAGAAACATAAACAGTCAGCAGATTTTAGCATCTGCTGGCTTCCTGAAACCAACCCCCAGGGATTCTAGGAATGACAGAAATTAAGTTTGAGGGGGAGTCAGATGTTATATGCAGATTTTATACTGATTAAAAAATCAGTACCGCAAACCCATACGTTGTTGAAGCGTCGATTTTATTATTGCTGCGTATTTATTGTAAATGGTTAATCCTCTTGAGAAAGATTACCTACTGAATACATCCTGTGGAAGGTGCGTGAAACAGGCAAAGGGTGTCAATTGCATGGAGGTGGGTGGAAAGTAGGCTTTTGGTCTGATTACATACAGTTGTGGAAGTACCATACTGAACATGTGAACATAATGATATAAACCAATATTATTTCAATGAAAATTAATTTTTAAAAAGTAGATGTCTCTTGGGACTAGTGTACAACAAATTTATGAGTGGTCTAGTTGTTATAGTAAAGATTTCAAAATGATGTGTTATGGTGGCAACTTATAGCCATTTCTATTGGGAGACTGTTACTCAAGAAAATCAGTCTATTCAGGCAGTAGATAGACTGCTAGCAAATATTCCTCTTGCTTAGGACTGGCTGTTCAAGTTTTACAGTTAGTTGAAAAAAAGAGGGGAGAAAACTGGGAGGTGGTGGCCTCGGGAGGTACAAGGAAGGCTGCAACATGAGGTGTTATAATCTCAAACCATATCATAGTGGTAGTGCAAGTTCCTGTTCTTCACAGCTGCAAACTTCCATCCACCCCCTCTGTCTACCCTTCTGCTCCCAAGGTTTTTTTCTAATGCAGCCCTTTCCTAATTTCCCAGAACCAGCCCCAGGCTGTCCCGAGTCTGGTCTGTGAAGTTCTGAGTCTTCCCAGCTCACCATCTGTTCACTTCTCTGTCTACAACGCTTCCCGCTCTCCTTCCTTCTCTGCCTCTATGCTCCAAGATCGGTTCCCTCCACAGAAGCTCAAGTCAGCTCCATTTCTTCCTGAATGCCTTGTTAACTGCTCCCCCAAACTCTTGGTGACCCTCGCAATGTTACCAAGCAATGGGCTCCTTACCCCACATGCACTGAGGTTAAAACCATGTTATCAGATTGGGGAAAAGAAAAAGTTTATTGCAGGTTGATAAGTAAGGAAGCCAGAGAAAAATTCAAATGTGTTTCCCCATAGGGGAGGAGAAGGGATTTATATAGGTTTGAGGAGCTGAGAAAAAAGGTTTAACTTTATTTGCTAAGAAAGGGGGTGCGGGCAATGAAATGTGGACTTGGATGAGGTTCACTGGTTAGTCACCAGGCAGTCCATACTCAGAGAAGTGATTGGAGTTTTCAATTTTTGTTGGTGGCCCCTCACCTCTGGGTAGCCCCTATCCCAGTTAAGGTTAGTCCCTTCTGTGCACGCTCAGGTTGTATTATTTGGTGATAAGCTTCCAGGCTCTACTATGAAAAGCAAGCCTCAAAGAGAAGTTTAAATAAGTTTTTTTTTTTCCTTTTATGCTCTAGAGTCTGACAACAATTTAGCCCCTGAATCTCAGTTTCATCAGCTCTGTCCTCTCAAATGCTCCCAGGAGGCTCCTCAAGACACCTCCTGTTCCAATCTCTGGTTCACCTGGTTGTATCTGTTTTCTTCTATTTTGGAACTCATTTGAGCTGCAGGAATGGCCGGGCTATTCCAGTCTTCACACCCTCCTCCTCCATGACTCAGAACAAGGTTTCCTTTGCTCAGATTTTTGAAGGGCAACTTCTGGGACAATCTTCAATCTCTCATCCCCCATGTCAGTTCTGGCTTCCGCAATGCCAGTCGAACCATACTTGGGATGCTTTCTCTCTCCTCTTCCCCAGCTTTTCCCTTCCCTATGTCAGGAAGGGGATTATTTTCCAGTGACTCGGATCAAAACCTCAGCTGTCGACTACTTTTTTTTCATCTGCACATGCAACCCATTAGCAGATCCCATTATCAGTTCCTTCAAAATTAAATCAGAAACACCTCTCAGCATTTCCACTGCTTTCCTCTGCTTTTCCTGGGACTAACTCCCTGCTTGTACTGTGGCGCCTCTCTTACTTGGCGGCTGGATGCGCCTCTTAAAATGCACATCACATCTTGGCAGTCTTCTCTTCAAGTTTTCTCAAGGGCTTCCCATTTCACTGCGAGTATGGCGCAAAGTCCTCACCACCGCCCACAGGGAAAACCTCTCTCACTCAGCCCCAGACATGCCCTTCCTCCTGCTCTTTGCTTCAGCCACTCTTCTTGCTGCCGAACCTTGAATATACCAAGTATGCTCCCGCCTCAGGGGCTTTGCACCTGCTAGTTCTTTCCCCTACAGTATGCTCCCTCCAGATGTCCCCAGGGCTTATCTTCACTTCCATCAAGCTCCATTCAAATGCCACAGCCACAGAGAGAATTTCCAGGACCACCTTCATAAAATAGCACCCTCTTCCTTCCCATGCATCTCCATATTGCTCTTATTCGGGTTTACTTTCCTTCTTAGATTGGAGTGCCCCTGGATATGGCATGTGTGTGTGTGTGTGTGTGTGTTTGTCTGGGCTCCTCCCACTGAAATGTTAGCTCCTTCTGGCAGACTTTGTTTTATTTGTGATTGAATCCCCAGTGCCCAGAACACTGACCTTGAATATGGTAAGTGCTCAAAAAATGTTAAATGAGTGAATGAATGACATAATCTCCACCCACGGACCACCTGACACTACCTCCAGCCTCAACCCTCAGTTTGTCTCCTTATAATAAAAAGCACCACTGTTCAAGGCTCTGGAATTTCATAACTAACGTTGGAGCCTGAGAGTCAAATGGTGTATGTCATCTGCATATCTGAAGAGCAGTATCAATTTTGCTTTGCCTCTGAGTAACTGGCTGAGTGCAACACCTGAATTTGCACAGAGCAACTGTGGCTTCCACTCCAACAAACTGCTTGGGCCAGCTATATCCACCAGCATCACAATAGCTAGTCAGGGTCTGACCACCAGCTGTACAACAGGATCTTCCAGAAGATCTACTGGAGGCCACAGTGAAGACCAGAAAAGAACCCTGATCAGCATCAGGGAGATCATCCAAGCACTTTCTGGCTGCCCTTCCAGACCACACACTCTACTTCCTGGAGCCATTCCAGCAGTTGGCATCATTAAGTAGTGATCTTCTGAGCCCATTCCTCTAGGGGCGCAAATCCCTTACTGTCCCTGAGTCTGGCTGAACCTCAGACACTATCTCCCCTCTATAATCTAGAGTTTGGCTCAGACACATACGAGCTGCGCTGGCAGGGGAATTATTTAGCCTGAGACTCAGTTTCCCCCTCCTGTAAATAAGACATGATAAAACTTGGACTGGTTTGTTGTGAAGATAATGATAATATACTTAGAGTTCTTAGCATATTTCCTGGTATATACTAAATGCTTAATAAATGATGCCAAAAAATAAAAAATAAAAAATGGCAAAAAACCAAGCCAAACCTATAGATCAGAACTGTAATGCTAACCCATAGCTCAGAGGCAGCATGGAGCAATGGTAAAAAGCATGGATTTAGATGTCCCAAGTTTACTAGCTGTGGGACTTTGGGTATTTTTACTTCTCTATTCTCCGTTTATTCATTTATAAAGTGGAGTTACTGTCTACCTCATGTGATTATTGTAAGGCTTAAATAGATAATGAACATAAAACTCTTCTATTAGGATCTGGTCCAGAGTGCCATGCAATAAACTGCCAACTATTTAGAAGTACTAAAATAACAATTCCCTTATAAATTACATATTTTAATTAATTTTAAAAGGTTCTGCAAACCTGTTTACAAAGTCTTATTACCCCAGTTAAAGCCATACATTGAAAACTGTAAAACTACCCTATAAGCCTGGCCTTATTTTTAATAAATCTGAAATAGTGAACATTCTGGTTGACACAAAAGGACAAAGATAAAGGAACTACTGGCTTCTCTTTTATCATTAATGGCGCAGGTACATCACATGTAAATGTATCCTAAACCTGAAGGAACAGAGGCTGCTATAAACTGTAGATAATTATGTTATTCATCTGCTTTTTAAAAAATCAAAACAAGACGTCTTTAAATAGTTTCAGTATCACAGATAATACGCTCTAAGTTTATGCAGAACAAAGCTCTCTCTGTTCAAAGATGCAAAACATGGCCAAGCCAGGGAAGTGACAAACACATTAACTGTGCCATTTCAGCCTACTTCCAAGGCCCAGGACTCATTCGGATTCTCTTTTCTCATTTGAAGATATATGTAAAAAACTTCTAAGTCATTTAAAAATAATCTTTCACTTAGAATATTTCTTGCATTAGTTTTCAAGTTGTTTCCCCCATGGAGAAAGAGTTTGGAAACATATCAAGTGAATCTCTGCCATTCCACACAGCCCCACTTCTGCCCCCCCCCCCCCCCCCCCCCCCCCGAGCCCCACATTCTGGATTCCATCTCTTCTTCAGGCAGTAACCGCAGCTGGGACACTATGCCTTTTACATTTAGGGCTTCCAGGTTTCTATCCTTAACAGTTTTATTTTTTCCCCCTTTTTCATGGGGTATTCCTATCTACTCCCAGGTATCAAACATCATTCTGTTTGTTTACAATTTCCAAATCTGTCCCATCACTTTCCTAAATTCCACATATGAATTTCAAATTGCCTACTGGCATTCCCATGCAATCTGTCCAAGGTGGAATATAATGATTCTCTTTTTACATTTTCATGCCCCTTTCCCTTATTCCCTGGACCTTGACATCTTCCCCATGGCAACTGAAGTGTTTTTTTTTTTTTTTTTTAGAGCATCCATTGGGTCTAATGTTTTCTTTTGCACTTGGTATGGCCTGTCTTGGAGTACAGCAGGTCCTCAGATAACTTGGAAATAAACCGAGGAAATGGTTTCCATCAATGTTGTTATAAGTTGATGAGAAAAAAGAAATCCTGGCCCATGTTGAAAGAAACATGATATCCAAGGACTTTCATTATACTTTGTTTGGCTTAAAACTAGTTTTCTAGAACCTTCATGACATTAAGTGCAGAGGACTTACTGTACTTTTCTTCTGAGTCTTCACGGGCCACTCCCTTCAGACCATGGCTCAAATGTCACTGCAGAGGCTGTCCTGACCACCTCCACCAAATCAGTGCTCCTCAGCCTTCCTCCAGTCACTCTGCATCTTGGTCCCCCTCTTTTCAATGCACACATCACTATCTAAAATTATCTCCTTCATTTACTTGCTTTCACCAGCTTGCCTATGTCCCTCCTCTAGAATTTAAGTTCCATGGAGACAGGGCTTTGTCTTGTTCCCTAGGGTCTCCCCCAAGGGTAGACCACTGGACCCAGCAGGACATTCAACATGTGTGGAATGAATAAACAGATGAACGCCTCATCCTTTAGGAAGGAAAAGCCCCGCTGTCAAGAACTGAGCAACATCCTGAACATTTCTGTTTAAATGCGAGGTATTTCCTTCCCAACCCATTCACTCATGCAGCCCATTTGTAGCCACAGACAGATCATCTGTAAATCATAGGCTGATCGCTGAAGCCTCTCGATGTAGCACATTACCCCCGCAACACCCTCACAGCTGTTTTATATTAAACCTGACAGAGTAATAATAATCACAATCTCTACAGAAACCCTTCTCTATCTGAGCTGTGAACAGAAGCTGGGGGCCACGGGGCAGCTTTGATTTCAGGACCCCAAGACACAGTACCCTCTGATTGACTCCTGCGGGATCCCCAGAGCTAAGGAGGCTCTGGCCTGGGAATCCATTATCCCACAATCTCCCATCCGTACACACTCCTAAAAAATAATCTGCATCCATCTCCAAGGATCTCAACGGACCCTGATGGTGTCCCTTTTACAGAGGAGGAAACTGACACTCGGAGGCACGGGCTTGGTTGAAGCTTGGGTACAAACAGCCCCAATAGGCATCAGAGGTTTCAGGCTCAGACACCTGCCACTTGAGCTACTTTATTTCCTGGTTGTCCTCAAGAAGCCTCGGTATCCTTATTATTTTTTTCTTTCTTTTAAAATTTATTTTAATTTTTTTATTTTTAAATAATATTTGCTTCCCCCCACCCCCTCAAGTGCAGTCCCCATAGAATTTCCTTCCCGAAGGCACCCGTGCACCATCACCTCAGTCCCCTGTGCCCCTCCCTCCCTACCTCTGCTCCTCTCCCTCCTCCTCCCCTGCAGGCTGTCTCTGATTTATAATTATCTGTTTTTGCTTTGTTGTGTTTTGTACTGTTATTATTTTTTTTTACACTGATGTCTTATTTGGTTCCCCTATATTCCTGTTATAAGCGAAGCCATCCAATATTTTTTTTTTTTCCTTCTGGCTTATCTCACTGAGCATAATTCCTTCTAGCTCCATCCACATTGCTGCGAATGGCATGAGTTTATCTTTTTGATTGCTGAATAATATTCCATTGTGTATATATGCCACATCTTCTTGATCCAGTCATCTATTTTTGGGCATTTGGGACACACAGACCAATGGAACCAAACAGAGAGCCCAGAAATAAAGCCACCCTTATATGAACAACTACTCTTTGACAAAGGAGCAAAGAATATGCAATGGAACACGGAAAGTTTGTTCAATAAATGGTGCTGGGAAAACTGGACCTCCACATGCAAAAAAATGAAACTAGATCACAACCACTCACCATGCACAAAAATCGGTGTCTTTTTCAAAAACAATATCTGAAGCCCGCACTGGGGGAATCAGAATAAAGCCCAGGACAGGAGCGGCACGTGGGGTCCTGCAGAGCGGCGCCCGCTCACCCGGGAGGCTCCAGGGGACTTGCGGGAATGGGAGCCGGGACCACAACGCTGGCTCCCCGCTGGCGTCGTGGGGTTCTGGCCGGAGGTGCGGGTGGGGCGCGGAGAAAGGGCAGTGAGAGCACGTGGCGAAAGGATTTGAAGTGCTGGCTCCGATGGAGCAAGGAGAGGGGAGGGACTGGGTTTGAGGTTTCAAGGGAACCACGCGGGAGAGCAGAACAAAGCAGGGGCCCGCTCTCACCCAAATGCATGTCAGGCATTTAATCTAAGAGTTAGGTGCCAAGGAAGGGGGGCAGGGAGGTTTCGCGAGCGCACGACTCAGCCAGGAAATCGGGAGTTTGCATTTACCACGACGCCTCGCCGGGAGTCTGGCGCCTCCTCACTGCTCCCGGCCCTGCTTCTCCCGAGAAAAGCGGGAAGGAAAAGGGGCGCGGGAAGGGCGGGGTGGTGGAGGGGACAGCCTGGGGGATGCTCGCCCCGCCCCGCCCCCGCCAGCCGGCGGGAAAGATGCTGCGCGCCGCAGATCCCCAGCTTGGCACCGGTCCAGCGCCTCGGCCGCCGCGCCTGCTTCCCTGGAGGGTGTGCGGAGCTCGGGGCAGCGATGCCGGGCCCCAGAGCAGGGGGGCGGGAGAGGGCGGGGGCGCCAGCGGCGGCGGGGAGCAGCTGCGGAGCAGCGCCAGCTCCACCTGAGCGCGAGCCGGGGGTATTAGGGCGCGTCCCGCGGGTTGCCGCTCACGCGTCTGCAGCGCAGAGCCCAGCCGCGCTCTCCCCGCTGGGACTCGAGGAACCAAGCTGCCGGCGGCTCGGATTTTACATGATGAGAATGTGTGCCCGTGTCCCCTGCCTTCCGATGGCTGTCGCTCCAGCTTTTAGGTTAGCGATGTTGATGAATCCTTCCTGCTGATTGTTATGCGCTCTTCTCCCCGCGTAAACAGGCCACAGAACCTCAGATGTAGGATGGTGTAGGGGCAGGACTGGCCACAGTGCAGGTTTTCTGATCCCAAGCAGACCGGGTAAAGGAGGAGTCAGAGTCCTCAGTGGTTTTTGCAGGTCTTTTATTGGGATTTACCCTGTACACAGCAGGCAGGGGTGCTGGGGGGCCGGGAGGCTGGCAGGCCTCCCAGCCCCCAGCAAGTCTTCATTCTATCTGGGCTCTCCGGCCTTCTCTGCTTCTCTCTCGGCTTTTCCTTCGGCTTCTACTGGGCTCCCGTGACGCCACCCTTAAAAAAGCACAGTCTTAGCTCAGCTGAATCCCATCTACCTATGCCCACACCCTATTCCAGGTGCCCACCATCAGGCATGCATTCAGGACCGCAAGGATCCATCATCTATCCTGATGGCGGGAGGGCAGAAAAGCCTGACATTTTCTTTACCCTACAGATGGTGTCAAAATAGGGGTGCGGCTGAAGCTCTCTCGATGTGTTCTTTTAAATCTGACCACCAAGCGGGGAGTTTGAAGAAGCCACGCGATTGTTTTTACCTTGTACCAAACCCCACCCCGCGGCTATGGGATCTCCAAACTGGCCCTTTCTTTAATTGCATTATGGATGAAAGAGAGAAGGCAAGGCGCGGTGGGGGGTGTTACAAATTATGCCGCTTTTGTTGGGGTTTTAATTTTTTCAGGTTGCAGTTTAAACCATCACGCTCAGAGTAGACCTTCCTTTGGCGATTTTTTGTTAAATTCAAGCCCAATTCCCAGCCTTCCCCCATCCAATGGCCCAGGTGTTTGTCCATTTCTGTTAGGGGAAAAAGGCTGTCCCAAAGCTAATTCCATACAGGCTTTGTGGACTCCACCCCCACCCCAGGTCAAAACCAAAGACACTGGGAACTCCAAATCCCATCACCACTAAAGGGAAGGTGGCTGGGACCTGAGGGTGGGGTTAAGCAGCCAGGTGGATACAAAAGGCAGACATGTGGGCTTTGGGGCTCTCTCCATTTTGGGGCCCTCGGCCAGCTCGCGGCGTCCGTCTAGCTCTGAGAGTGACTTTGGGTTTCCAGGTCGTCGGATCGGGTAGGACGCATTAAAGACTTTATTTCCCTATTTTCTCCCTGAGTTGTACATTTTCCTTATTTCTTTTTCTCTTGTAAATAAACCTTTTATTAACCCTTTTGCGTGTGTCTGTAGTGGAGTATTCATAAGTCCCTTTAAAGCGCGCGGGTGAGGACCCACAGCCAGGAACCCGTTTAATATCGGGGTTGCTCTATAACATTTCTAGTGGGCCCTTCTTTTCCTTGCATGTGCTCATTCCCAGGTTCTGCAGTCTTTGCAGCCTCGCCCCGGCCTTGGAGACCTGAACTGACCACAATTCTTTGACCCAGGCGTCTCATAAGGTTATTTGTTCATCTTCAGGTTGTGAGAGAAGAATGCCTGGGCTGAAGGGCAAACAGGTTCAATCAGTACATGTCACTCAGATGTGGTGCCCTGGCCTGCTCTGTGGCCTTTGTGTTATAGAGCAACCCCGATATTAAACGGGTTCCTGGCTGTGGGTCCTCACCCGCGCGCTTTAAAGGGACTTATGAATACTCTACTACAGACACACGCAAAAGGGTTAATAAAAGGTTTATTTACAAGAGAAAAAGAAATAAGGAAAATGTACAACTCAGGGAGAAAATAGGGAAATAAAGTCTTTAATGCGTCCTACCCGATCCGACGACCTGGAAACCCCAAAGTCACTCTCAGAGCTAGACAGACGCCGCAAGCTGGCCGAGGGCCCCAAAATGGAGAGACCGCCCCCAAAGCCCACGTGTCTGCCTTTTGTATCCACCTGGCTGCTTAACCCCACCCTCAGGTCCCAGCCACCTTCCCTTTGGTGGTGATGGGATTTGGAGTTCCCAGTGTCTTTGGCTTTGACCTGGGGTGGGGGTGGAGTCCACAAAGCCTGTATGGAATTTGCTTTGGGACTGCCTTTTCCCCCTAACATTTGGAGTTAGTCTCTCTAAATGCCATTTCAGTGGAAGGAAGACAACCATTGTCTCCCAGGGCACAGGTAGACATTTTCTTTCAGTCACTGGCATTGGTTGCTATTAGGGGCCATTTGTGTAGTCTGCCTCTCACCTCTTTCCCCCCAAACAGGGAACATCTTTTATTTCTATTGTTGAAGACCAAGCAAGCACAGGCACCATCTTCCCAACCAATGTAACTAAAACTTTCAGTAAAACTGCCTCTGTTGGGAGCCCACTAATGCTGCTTTTCAGGCCACCCCCTACAGGGCAGGTTATGATGAAACTCTTAAGGGAAACTGTGGTGGGAGTCAGAAATTTGCATTGCTAAAACCCTCAAATGAAGGTGATGCAGGAAGCTCAGAAAGCCTCACCTTGCTCTTAGGAAGGGATCATGTTCCCTGCCCCCACTTGCATGCAGCTGCCTTGGATTAGCTAGTGGCCCTGTGGGGTGAGCTGCAGCAGAAGGAAGCTATACAACATGGGCAGGTGGGCTAAGTAAGAAGGAAGAGCACTTGTTCCTGTGGGTGATTTGTATCTTGGTATTGCTGGGATGGAGAGACATGTACAGGCACTTAGTAGAGACATGGGTGAGAGACAAGTGGTGAGACTAACAATGGCAGTCCTTATCTTAATATGATACCCTCTTGTAGGGTAAGGAAAAATGTCAGGCTTTTCTGCCCTCCGGCCATCAGGATAGATGATGGATCCTTGCGGTCCTGAATGCATGCCTGATGGCGGGCACCTGGAGTAGGGTGTGGGCATAGGAAGATGGGATTCACCTGGGCTGAGACTGTGCTTTTTTTTAAGGGCGGCATCACGGGGACGCCAGTAGAAGCCAAGAACGAATGGAAGCCGAGAGAAGAAGAGAAGCAGAGAGAAGGCCAGAGAGCCCAGATAGAGCAAAGACCTGCTGAGGGCTGGGAGGCCTGCCAGCCTCCCGGCCCCTCAGCCCCCCTGCCTGCCATATGCCTGGTGAACCCCAATAAAAGACCTGCAAAAGCCCTGAGGGCTCCAGAACTCCTCCTTTACCCAGTCTGCATGGGATCCTAGAAAACCTGCTCAGTGGCCATTTCTGCTCCTTACACCTCTCTTGTCCCAGCTTTCTGGGACCTGCTCCCAAACTCCTTCCCTATGGTTTCCAGAAGGTGACTTACACTTGTGGCAAGTGTTTAGACCTCAGTGGCCCCACCTCAGGCTGAGCCTGTTTGGCTGGATATTTTCCCAGGAGGGGATAGGTAATTTTGGGTGTTTTACTGGGAAACTCTTCCTAGGAACTCTCTTATCCTCTCTATGCACACACCAATTCTATTAGAGTTTTTTTTTTTTTTTTTTTTTTTTTAAGAGCGCTTCCTTTATCTTTATGGGGTGGGTGGCAGATCCCTGTTTTAGAGAATGCACCCCATAAATTTGGGGGTCCCTGGATACCTCTTGGTCACTCAGGCTAATATTACCATTTTACTGCTGCAATATCAAACTTATCGAGAGAGACTTGATGCAGGTATATAGACCAGATTAGGGTCTGGAGACTTCAAAATGACTTATATGTGTAGCTGCTATACAGAGGTCAAAAACTGTGTACTCAGACCAGCATGGATGCACGTCCTATAGGACATCCTAAGAAGACATTAGAATGATAAGTAAATTGTTCTTAAAAATCAAAGTCATTTTATTTATTTTCTCCTTATATTTTGACATTTGTGTTATATAATTACCCTATAATAGTTCAGGCAATGTAACATAATACTTGATATCACAAATAGTATTTGCAAGGACCTGTATCCAAAAATAACACCTCATCTGTTCAGGCTTTATTCTTAATCTTGCATTGTGAGGATTTAGAGACAAATTCTTTTTTAAACCTCAAATTTCTGTTAATGGCTAGAGGAATAAATTGAACTAATTTTACTATAAACAATACATATGACCTTAGATAATAAAAATAAGCCAATTACATCGATGCAATGTTTTAATTTTTTCATCTGTAAGAGGGGGCAAAATATTTCTGCTCTACTATGTATTCTGATGCCATCGCATGCAAGAAAATCCTTTGAAAATGCTATAAAACTGTAAGATGTCATTAATCTGAGATGATATGAAATGTATGACCAAATGTTTGTAAAGTCATTTGATGTGATAGGTTAATTGCTTTTGATTAGATGGATGTACAGTGACCAGCCAAGGAGAGTTATAATCTAGGGATGAGTAAGGGCCATTAGGAGAATGAATCTTATAAAATGAAAAAATTATTAGAATAATGGAATTTCCATAAAAAAGGATATTTTCATTTAGATTGTGCATTTTCCATCATTTCTTTGACTAAAAATGTACATCTTTACAAAGTTAATAGCCAGTAAATATATTTGCATTTCCTGCCACTCACTCTCTCACCATTTAGTTTTACATCCCCTGCCTTTTAACTTCTGAAATTACCTTGCGCCATTAGCATGGTGAGAAGACAAATATTCGCATTTGCCTGAATTCTCCACTGGGCTAAAGACTTTTGTCCCTGAAGGAAGTACATACTGAATTTTTGACAGTTTGGTCGTTCTTTGCCTTTTGTCAGTACTACTCTTTGCACTGAGGTACTCAGAACCAGTTGCTCAGTGACACAGATTCAAAATACATAAGGGCAGTTAATTTTTTCTGAGCTCTGAAGCCCAAAAATAAGAAAAATCTCAGACTGGGAATTGAGATGAAATACATAAACATATGAAACTTAGTGACTCAGATTGTTAGTCACAGAGTCACTGGTTAGAGTCTGGATGCAATCCACTGTGGACAGTGGCCAGTAATAATGATGATGATATTTTGCTTTTCCTTAGTGCTGTACAAAACCCTTTGCAAATGTTGCAAGGAAAAAGAAAAAGTGGAAAGATATTTTCTTCCAAATATTTGGGCCAAATTAGAATCTTGTTAGCCTCAAGGTACTTTTTCCCTTTACATAAATACAGAAAAATTGCAAATAATTGTAATACAAAACAACTTAAGCAATACCCTCATTAATATTCAATTAGCATAGTAAGCCCTCGTTCCCAGCCTCTTGTTTGAAACAGACTGGATCCAATGTGTAGTCTTAGAGTAAAGAAAATAATGGCTCCATAGAAGTTCGTCCACATAGAGCCAGGAGCTACATTCAGAATTATGTTTTGTATTATTATACTTTCATTAGTAATTAGCCTTCCACTGAAGAACTCACTGTGGGTAGATTAAAGTCTGCTCTTGCAATATTATCAGGCATGAGTAATATTATCAACAGTAAGTGCTGGTCTGCTTCAGATATCCTCCCACTATCTCCCCATCTGACCGGAACAAGAATTGGATAACTTCAGAGTAAAAGAATAATGTGTCCATGTGTTCCTCCAGATCTCAGAGTCCTGGCAGCCAACCTCAGCTCTCTTGGCCACCATAAAGCAGCCATTGAAAGGACACAGCTGCAGGAACTAGGGGCTAAGCGCTAAATAAATCCACAGGGCTGGAGGCACAAGTCATGTACATGACCCTAACACAATACCTTGTGGTTATGAATGAGGGGATTAGCATCTTATGGTGCTGTAGCAGCTTATGCAAAATTAATTGGTGCCTCAGCCAGTGCTGAGTTTCTAATGGAAAGATGTCCACTTCAAACACACACGTATTTAAAAAAAAAAAAAAAAAAACCCAAGGAGGCCTTAGTCAACAAAAACTTTGGCTGGTATTATGGGGAAAGGAAGGACCAAATGCAATGGGAACTAAACCTATTATTCTCTTAGCTGGACATGGTTTTTCTTCGGATCAGAGTTGACGTACAACTCCCATTGGCATTATCCCAGGAACTGATCTCGGTGTTGGCAGGTTCTGGGGTGTTGTATTTTAGACTTGATGTGGAGAGAGCTTGGGAAAGACTTTAGGGACATAGGGCTTGAGTTCTGAGTTGTCTTCCATGGGAAGAAGATTGAGAAAGATTGGATACTGATCTACCCAAAAAGTAACTCTTCTCAAAGTGTGTTTTAAGTCACTTTGCTTTATATGTGAAAAAGATGATGTTGTGATTCATTGGGTTTGAGAAACAATAGTATAAACAAAGTTTAACACACTTCTGTTTTGTGTGACTTCTGGGAGCCTTATATCAACATGCATTGTCAATATTCAAGACGACTAGCGAAATTCAATGTTCCCCAAACTTTTTGACCATGGAAACCTATTTAGGGGGTGTAGGGGCAGGATGGGAGTGGGGCAGATTCTCTAACCTGAGCAGACTGGGTAAAGGAGAGTCCTGGAGCCCTCAGGGTTTCTCAGTCTTTTATTGAGCTTTTACATGTAGTGCAGCAACCAGGTACACGGCAGGCTAGGGTGCGGGGGGCCAGGAGGCCAGCAGGCCCCCACACCCCGGGCAAGTCTTCACTCTGGGCTTCTCTTGGGTTCTTTTTCCCCTTCTGTCTCTCCTCCCTCTTCTCCTGCTTCTGCTTCTGCTTCTCTTGGCAGATATCTCAATACTGAGTCATGGCCCACAGAAGTAAAGGACACAGCTTACAAAAATGTAACAGATGCAGGTGCCCTATCCTGCAGGGCAATCCTAATGGTGGGAGGGCAGAAAAGCCTGAAAACCATTTTTCCTAGGGGTGGGTATTTTATAAAACATTGAAGACATTATATTATTGTGAAATCTTTAAATTTATGTTAATGTTATCTCCAAGTAAAGTGTTTTATATGGTCTTAATGATACACTGAATGGACTAAATGCTTAAAATAGAGCATTTTCAAACCATGCATTTACTTTTTTTCCCTTTTAAAAATATGCAATAAAAACAAAAGTGGACATTGCTCAAATCTTTCTCAACCTCTCAAAGGCCCTGGCTCTGTGATTTGTGCCATACTTAAAGTTGACGTGAAGCTTTATCTTGTTTTAGAAGACAAGGACATTATTCTTACCATACTTTCTCCTTTCTCCCTAGGTAGGAGCAAGACCAGCCTTTTGAATAAGCTGAATAGGCTGTGAGATGAAAACTATTTCACTATGGTAATTACCTTTTTTCTCTCTCAAAGATAGTGAGGCAACTTCCAAAGGCGATTATTTTTATTTTTTATTTTATTTTTTAAAAGAATTATTTATTTATGCATACAAGAGCTGGGGTACAGGCCAAAGTTGGGGAGAGTGAGAGGATTCACCAGAGACAGAGTGGGGAACAGAACAGGTGGATCGACTGTTGATTAATTCATCTGTTTTTGTGCCAGCACCAGTTTTCAATATGACTGTTTAAGTTTGAACTCAGATGCTGTGATGCCTCCATCTCTCTCCTTTTCTCCCAAGATTGCTTTTGCTATTTGAGGCTTTTTGTAATTACATATAAATTGCACTAACTTTTGTTCAAATTCTTTAAAAGTATCACTGGTATTTTGGTGGGGATTGTGTTAAATTTATATATCACTTTAGGTAGCATAGTCAGTTTAATTTTGTATTGATTGTCCCCATCCATGAGCCTGGGATATGCTTCTGTCTCCTCATGTAGTTATCCAAGTCCTTTAATAATGTCTTGTAGTTCTCTTTGGGTAGGTCTTTGACCTCCTTATTTAGGTTGATTCCAAGGTGATTAATTCTGTTTGAAGCAATCATATATGGAGTTATTTTCTTGAATTCCTTTGTTTCTTGTGTATTGTTTGTATATAAATAAATTATGGATTTTTAAATGTTAATTGTATGACCTGCCACTTTGTTATATTTATCTTTCAGGTTTCAGTCTTTAGGTTCTAGAGTTTTTAGCCTTAAGGGTTTTCAATATACACAGTATCATAGTACCTGTGAGTAGTGATATTCTCACTTCTTTCTCAACTTAGATTCTCTTTATTTCCAGTTTTTGTCTAATATCTCTATCCAAAACCTCTAATACTAAGTTAAACAGAAGTGCTAACAATGGGCATCCTTGTCTAAGATCCTTCATCAGCTTAAGGGGGAAGCTTTCAATTTTTCACCACCAGATATTATATTAGCTGTTGGTGTATAATACATGGCTTTTCTTATATTGAGGTATGTTCCTTCTGTTATAAATAGCTTTTATTATAAATGGGTGCTGGATCTTACCAAATGCTTTCTCTGCATCTATTATCATTTATCTGTACTTTTGTTGATATGATCTTCTATATTAATTTACATACATTAAGCTATCATTACATCCCTAAGATAAATACCAGTTGATCATAATATATAATCCTTGTGATACACTGTTGAATTCAACTTGCTAATATTTTGTTGAAGATTTTTGTATCAATGTTCATCAAGGATCTATTGGTCTATAATTTTTTTCTCATGTTTTCTTTATCTGACTCTGGTATAAGTGTAATGTTTACAAATTAAAAGTATTAGGGAGTGTTCCCTCTTGTGTTTTTAAAAACAATTTGAGCAAGATGGCATTAGTTTTTCTTTAAAGTTTTGATAAAACTCATTTGTAAAGTGGTCTGATCTTGAGCTTTTCTTTTTGGAAAGATTTTTCTGTTGCTATTTCAGTTTCCATGGTTGTGATTAGTTTGTTCAACTCATCTGTGTCTTCTGGGGTTAGTCTTGGTACTTCTGTGCTATCTGTAGTAATTCCATCTCTTTCATTTCTGATTCTGTTTATTTATTCCTTTCCCTCTTTTTTCTTTGTTAACCTGACAAGAGATTGTATATTTACCTTCTCAGAGAATTAACTCTTAATTTTATTGATCTTTTGTAGTCTTTTTTATCTTTATTTCATGTATTTCTCCTCTTGCTTTTATTATATTATTTCAAATAATTGGGGGTCTTGTTCGACTCTTACTCAAGTTGCATTATATAGGGAATTGAAGAATCACCTCCAGTGACCATCAGGGATTCAAGCTTCCTACTAAGCTGTGGGTATCAAAGTTATAGGTTGGGGATCCACAGTAACCCCTCTTCCAGCCAGCTCTTCAGTGTCTCATATATTCTCATGCCAGCTTCTACCCCTAGGATTTACTTGAGCACCAATGCAGTACTGGGCATAGATTGTAGTTGGTACAGGGTCACAGGTGGGAATTGTTCTCTTTTCTTTCTCTGCACAGAGCCTTATCCTGGGGTCTTTGTGCCGGCTGTTAACAGGTGTTTGCACTATGGTGAATGAAAGTATTTATTTCATTATCTTGACTTTAGCCCTGGAGGGAGGGGAGTGGCAGGTGTTCTGAATATTCCAACCTTGGACTTTGAGTAATAGCCCCCTTTAGGAGGAGACACAGGTGATCCAACCTGGTTCTTCCCAGGGGTTTGGACCTTAGATATTCTATATTGGGAGCCTCAGACTCAAGCCAGTAATTGTCACTCTGCAGCCCTGCTCCTAAAGCTCTCTAACAATGCACTCTCTGTCCTGCACACCAATTCTATGCACCCCCATACCCAGTGCAGTGCCAGGTCTCCAAAGTCTCCAGTGTTGTCATGAGTCAGCAACTGTGGGTGGTTTGGTACGGCAGCTGCCCCTCCTTCTTGTGGGGTGTGCTGCCCCAGTATCATTGTAAACATAGTGCAATTAAACTTTTCCTATTCCTTTCCACAGGACTGTTGCTTCTGGTACGTATTGTAGTCATCTGGCTTTTCCAGGGAGTTATTGGCTGTGTTCAGCTGCACTCTAGTTGTGAGCATATGGAGCAAGCAAGTCCGGCATCATGCTGGACTCTCTGTAATCTATAATTTTTTTAAAGGTTTTATTTATTTTTGTGTAGAAGTACTGGGGTGGAGGCCAGAGGTGCAGGGGATGGGAGTATTCATCAGCAACAAAGTGGGGAGCAGAACAGGCTGATCTACTGAAATACACTGTTGAGGGGAGCAGCTGGCGAGTCAGGAAAGGTCTGCTGTGCCATGTGGATTAGCTCCCTGACCGGGCATCAGATTTATGTTTCAGTGGCTGGTAGCTTGATAGACTTAACCCCTGCACCACCAGGGCAGCCCTGTGATCTATAATTTTTTAAGTAGAAAATCAAAATGTATTTTTCTATTTTAAAATTAGTGTGTGAAAATTATTTTGAATTGGAAAATATAAAAAAATAGAGAAAATAAAAAGGCATTTTAATCACATTTTCATGTCTTCCAATTTTGTGATTCTGGAAAGTTTATCTTACATTGATGTAACTAAATGCTTGCTCTAAATTCCATACCCTCCTTCTTTGCTTCACACTTCAAGTAAAATGAACATAATGTTTTTCAGGGTATAATAAATTCTTCCTAATCACTACTTGAGATAGCATTGCTATCATTTCTTTAGCCATTCTCTGAAATCTTTTTATAACTTCCAAAATTTGATTTTATAAATATATATAAATTTGTAACAAAACATTTATATGTATTTTAACTATTTCTGGAAGATAAATTCCCCAGAAATGGAATTTCTAAGTTAGAGGCAAAAATTATTTTAAGACTCTTGATATATATTGCTAAATTTAGCTTATGATATCAATGTTTTTCTTCAATGGAAAATTATAGTAAATCCTAAGAGATTTTTAACTGAACATCAGTAAAATTTTACTGCAAAAGCACTTTGAGGTTTGAGGGAAAATGGTGTTAGTAACATATGTTAAAAGCTTAATAATTGGAATAAGAAAAGTCAGTTTGAATTTGTGATTAATTCTTGACTATTGACTACTTTGAAACAATGTGCTTTTATTGTAGTTCATAAAGTAATACCTAGACTAATGGAAAGTTTATGGTGCTCTTTGTCAGACATTTGGCTCCAAGTCAGTAGACTTGGCTTTAAAATTAGATTTTACCACCTACCTTCTAACTTTTGGCATATTTCTTAGCTTCTTTGCATTATTCTCTCCATTTGTTGAATGAAGATAATGTTAGTTTCTACTATGTAGGGTTATTGTAAGGCATCAGTCAAAAATGTTTTCAGAGTATCAACTACCTATGGATACATCTTATCTATTATTAAATAGAATAATTTTAAATGGAATTCCTGGTCAGTTAGAATTTCTGCATTTATATCAAGGCAGTTGAATAAGTAAACCTACAATCTATAAAAGTTTCTGTATGTAAATAAGCTAGCATCATCCATGAAATTGTATTTACTCTCAACTTGTTCTATATATATTGTGTGTACATGTAAAACAAAAGTAAGCTACACGAAAACCTCCTGTTTAACTAATAAAATATAGTGATGGATTATGAATTGAGATTTATTTTTTATTTATTGTCTTATTTTTTAATTTTACATTGAAAGAAAAAGTCAGCTTGATTTAATGTTCTTCATATGGGAAGTAGGAAGAACAATAATAAAAGTTAGCTTTGAAATTAATAAGTAATTTCAAATGAGCTGATATCAAACACAAATACAAAGATAATCTCAATCTTTATAGTTTATACCTAAGAAACGTATAAATGGGTCAAATAAAATATCACTTAACATTTTTCTTGGTGACTCTGTAAGGAGTCATCGGGTAAAGTACCATAGTGAAAAGTTGAACCTCGATGCAGAGGTGGGCATTGCATTTGGCATTGGATGAAGCTGTTTCCCAAGGCCCCTTTAGTTCTCTTCAATTACTGTAGTTAGTGCTTTCCTTGTTTTAGCGCTCACTTCATCTCAAACTTGGCACCATTGCTTAGTTTAGCAAAACTATCATGACTCTTCTGAAATCGAAGTTCCGTCAACATTATCATTATCTGACTTTGTCTCTTGCTTTGAGAAACAACCTTAAGATTCTTTTTGGTTCATACCAAATCCAAAAATAGCAAACAACCCTTAAAAATCACACAGGTGAGAAATTTTCAACACTTCTTTATTATCAAGGTTATTCAAAGGAATTGGAGACCACCAAATTTAGTCTGTATAGTGTTGCCAGATGCTTAACAGAAAAATAATTTCCTTCTCACCGAAAAATTTATGTCATTGCCTTTTTATTCTCAGATTTCTCAGCACATTCAGTACAATCAGCTACAGAATGTGCACCCAGGTCACCTTTATTACAGATAATAAAGGATTGAGAGGTGGATGACTAAGGATTCTCTATGGATCTAGGGATTTTGCCAAAGCCTAAGTGATATAGACAGATTGTTTTATTATAAAACAATAAAAATTGTAAATGTCATACCTAGACCTTGTATACTCTTTTCCTTCTTAACTTGATAGTTAAGTCATATTACTTTTTAGATGATGATTTTTTGTTACCTATGACCTATCTACATTCTTTTCAATATTTTTTCTCGTCTTAAAACTAGTTTGTTTTGGTCTGAGTTCTTGCTTTACGCATAATTCCTGGGTTCCTGGATAAGTCTACTTGTCTAATCAACGGGATTGAACTTTTTAAATAGCAGGCTTAAAAAGTGATAATTGTTGAGAATAACTATGAAGTAGTTATTTGGGTAGTAATTCCAAAGCTTCTTTGTGTTAATTTGAAAAGTATGAATCATAAATTTCCACTCATGTTTTCTTAGTGAGATTAGTCATTTTAAAAAGACTTTTCCAAATCATCTTCCATATTTTATTCTTTTTGTAAAAAATAAAAAGAACTCTAGCATTAAATCAGATCATGAAAATGTTGACTATCTTGTAAACATAGAGATCAAATTAAAGTTCATTTCAAAAAAAAAAAACAAAACCTAGGGCCTCCCCTGGTGGTGCAGCGGGTTGAGCGCCGCACTGTGAAGTTGTCCACAGCCTCTGCAGCGCCGGTTCAATCCCGGCCTGCCAGCGAGGGTCCCACATGACACGGCAGACCTCTCCTGTCTCGCCCGCTGCTCCCCTCAGCAGTGTATTTCTTCAGTCTGCCTGTTCTGTTCCCTGCTCTGTCTCTGGCCTGCACCCCAGTTCTTGTATAAATAAATAAATAAATCTTAAAAAAACTAGATAAAACTTTCTTTTTATTATCCACTCAATTATTTTTCCATTTCTTCTAGTCCTTCCTAAGAGGAATTTAATACAGATCTCTAAGGTTCATTAATATTTTTTCCATGTCATATAAAGAAAGGTGAGTTTCAGAGCCAATTGTGCAACATATTTCAGACAGCCCAATGTATTAATAAACTCATGGCTAACAGCAGGATTTGGAAGTGAGCTTCGCTTCTTACACCTGTCACTGATTTAGAGTCCTCCATGCTAAGCTGAGCTAGCCACTGCACAGGTGGGGGAGTCTGCCAGGTACTGAGGGCACACCTGTAATCTGAGGTCACACCACTGAGGTCTGTGCTCTGCCTCTGCTGCTGACCATCTGACCTCAGGACTCACGACCCTGAGATCTAGTTGCTTTGGTGAATAGAAGGACAAGGACTATGATGAACTGATGTGATTGTTGTGATGATTGCATTAGTATCCTCACAGCTGTCTCTCTGTCGTTCCACTACTTTTCCTTTCTCTTCTTTTCTCTCCACTTTTGTCTATCAATGCACTCGGGTCTTCAGAGGTCACAGTCCCCTTGCCCTTGTTCAGCCCTGATTCTGAGTATGGCATTTCAGGAAGCACCTGTTATCTCTCTGGTGTTTTTAGAAAACTCAGTTCACAAACTTCATAAAATTACCAGAGAGCTCTCTTTTTCAGACTCTTACTACTTGGAATCGTTTCATTAAATTTCCAAATGCTTCAATGTCTATGGATATAAAAAATGAAGTTCTCTGTGAAAATAATCACTAAAGTCTTAGAACTGAGGGCAGGAGAAATCTTACAAGTCATCTAGTCGAATGAGGGTCCCTTGTCCATGCTGTCCAATAGGGTCAGATACATTTACTGATGGGTACAGAGTTCTTTGCAGGGACCCCATCTCACTTTTTAGCAGTTTTAATAACAGGGGAGTGTAGATGCCTACAATTCTGTTACCATCCTACTTGTACCTCTTGGATTTTCTTCTGGAACAAGACTGGTTGCATATCCTTCCTCATTCACTATTAAGCTAGCCAGCCATCAATGTGTCACAGCCCTAAAAATCTGCTTCATTTAAAAACTTTACACATGAACATATCAACTACAACATAATGCCACAAATTCTACAGGCACACAGTGACCTGAAACCCGGTCTCATTTCTTTCTTTCTTTTTTTTAAAGATTTATTTATTTATACAAGAACCAGGGTACAGGCCAAATGTGCGGGAGGGTAAGAGGATTCACCAGAGACAGAGCGGAGAACAGAACAGACTGACTGAAATACACTGCTGAGGGGAGCAGTGGGCGAGACAAGAGAAGTCTGCTTCACCATGTGGGATTCTCGCCGGCGGGCCAGGATCAAACCCGCGCTGCAGAGGCTACGGACAGCTTCACAGTACGGTGCTCAACTGCCTTCACACCAGAGAGGCCCCCGGTCTCATTTCTTGCAGTTAGTGGAGGTAGTGTAACTTGGATGATCTCTGAATTTCCAGTGACCCCAAACCTTCGCATAAAATGTCAAACAATGAGTATGGACATTAAAAGTCCAAAATAAGAAATCTAGCTGGCAGAGAAAAGGAGTTTTGTTTTTGCTTATATAAAAATAGTATCAAATACTGACTTTACAGTGGGTGCCTGTAAGAATACTTTGCCAAAGGTTGTGGAGAAAAAGGAA